TTTTAAAAGAGAATTACTTATAACAATAACCCAAAAAAATTCCTTCTATTTTTTTCCTCATATCTGTCTTGTATATGTATTTGTACCAGTTTATTAAAACTTTATTGCTCAGTCTGAACTCAGTGATCGTCCTTTACAAAATGTAACTCTTAGACTGCGTAGTTTTGAAATCTTTGGAAAATTCTTGCGGTAATTAATTCGAAATCGTCATCTAAGAAGAACAAGCAAAATTTTCCTTTCATAGAACATAGTAACAGTAGCAAACAATATGATAAGAAATTCTGCGAAGAATTTTTGCAGCTCTTTTGTACAAAGCCTCAGAAAAGGATTGTGTGCTCCTCTTCATAGATACTGCCAGTTTTTACTCCATTTTCAATCTTATTACCTTATCATTCGTCAATGCATACGTTACACTATGCGTTATCTTTGCCGTAAACATCTTCTGCATGAACCGCTTGACCTCGCGAAACTTCGCCAGGGTCTTGCATGCCAGTGATGTGAGAGCCATTTGCTCTAGTAGCAGAACATTGCTGTTACTTCAGTGGGCCACTCAACAAAAAACCTCTTTTACGTTGTCCTCTGTTTTAAAAGCCTTTATTTGGTGAAAATCCCCAGCAGCACTACATGATTCTTCAAAATGATACGCTTCAATAAAAATGTTGTATATCACCGTTTTTTCCAGATTGTCAACTTCAATGTGTTCTTACTTCTTTTCCTTTTTTATCATCATCTTTCCTTACAAGAGCGAGCAAAGGTCACTCTGGATACGACTACGTCCCCGAATAGTCGCCATTGATCGTTTCAATGCACTGCAAACCGTTGAACTATACTTCCTTTTTGTTCATCATTTTTTCAGCAAATTTATCTAAATTGTTGTAACTTCTTTTTGGTTAACCTTCTCTGGCGCCTTGACTTCTTCCAACTTCTATAAGTTTCAGAAATGAAGTCCTTTGTTTCTGTTCCAGAAGGGTCTGATTTCCCTATTGAGAACTGCCCATACGGAGTATTCTCTACTAGCGACAATGTGGGTAAAAATAATCAATCTTGAAATTTAATTCTTATTTTAAATAAGTCTTCTCAGAAGCTCCATTTCTAATTCAATACATCTCATTCATCTCCTCTGCTTACAATTTTTAATACTTGTACAATTTCTTTGCTTGAAAATTGGGAACCTTGCCGTTTTACCACCTTCAGCTACTGCATTGATAGTGAAATGAAAGGTTATATGATTGGGTAAAAACCATAAAATTGCAAGTTAACGACAGGAAAATGCTAACGGCAGGAAACTTATCACCCAGTAGAAGTTTGAAAATTCTAACCTGGTTAAGGAATTTATGCTTATTTGTTTTCTTTCTTTGTGACAATCAAGATAGTGTGCTGTTGCTAGTATCGCGAAGTAAGATTTCAAACATAAATGAACTAGTTTTTTTTCCGCTCAAAAAGAAGGTTTTTTTGAACCTATGAGAAATATTTCAACTAGTAAAGTGGTATTTCTAGGCTAAGCACAGGATCGGCGTCGCTATTGGAGAGTCAATACTTGATTTATCAGCAGTAGCTCATCTCTTCGATGGACCAGTACTGAAAAATCACCAAGATGTCTTCAAACAGGTTCATATTTGATCTCACCTAGAAAACTAGTTCTAGGTTAGTAGTTATACGGTAGCACTAAATTAAGGATACCCTCAACGCCTTCATGGCTTTACCTCGAGCGGCCTGGCTCGAGGCTCGCCAAACCATCCAAAAACTTCTCAGCGATGACGTCACTACCCTGAAGGAAAATGCTGAGCTCCGAGCAAAATCTATTGTTAGTCAAAAAGATGCTACTATGCATCTTCCAGCAAAAATTGGTAATAAAAATAAATAATGGACTTAAAAGTTGAAAACCCGGTTGGGTAATTTTAGGAGACTATACTGACTTCTACTCATCTATTTATCATGCTACCAACGTAGGGATCATGTTCAGAGGAAAAGAGAATGCTCTTATGCCAAACTGGTAGGATTTAACTCTTCCCCACACTTACTGAAAGTCGTTGATTGACCTTTTAGGAAATGGCTACCAGTCGGCTACCATGGTCGCGCTTCCTCAATCATTCCCTCTGGTACTCCTGTCCGCAGACCTCATGGCCAACTCAAGCCAGAAGGAGGTAGCATTCCCTAACATTACTAATCTACAAGAAACTACTGGCGTTTTTTAGCTGCTGAACCCACCTACGGTGCTTCTCGACTTC